TCTTATTTCTATTCTATTCTAAATTCCTATTTCTATTCTATTCTATTCTGTTCTCTATGCCTCTATTTTATTTAATTTTCTATTCTATTTCTATATTTTATTATTCTATTCTATTCTATTCTATTCTATTCCTATTCTATTCTATTCTCTATGCCTATATTTTATTTATTTTATTTTCTATTCTAATTCTATATTTTATTATTCTATTCTATTCTATTCTATTCTATTCTATTCTATTCTGTTCTGTTCTGTTCTGTTCTCTATGCCTCTATTTTATTTATTTTATTTTCTATTCTATTCTAATCTAATTTTACATTTTATTATGAATTCTATTCTAATTCTATATTTTATTATTCTGTTCTGTTCTGTTCTGTTCCGTTCCGTTCCGTTCTATTCTATTCTCTATGCCTCTATTTTATGTATTTTATTTTCTATTCTATTCTTATTTCTACTCTATTCTCTTCTACTCTTATTTCTATTCTATTCTAAATTCCTATTTCTATTCTATTCTATTCTGTTCTCTATGCCTCTATTTTATTTAATTTTCTATTCTATTTCTATATTTTATTATTCTATTCTATTCTATTCTATTCTATTCCTATTCTATTCTATTCTCTATGCCTATATTTTATTTATTTTATTTTCTATTCTAATTCTATATTTTATTATTCTATTCTATTCTATTCTATTCTATTCTATTCTATTCTATTCTATTCTATTCCTATTCTATTCTATTCTCTATGCCTGTATTTTATTTATTTTATTTTCTATTCTATTCTAATTTTACATTTTATTATTCATTCTATTCTACTCTAATTCTATATTTTATTATTTTATTCTATTCTAATTCTATTCTCCATCCCTCTATTTTATTTTATTTTCTATTCTAATCTAATTTTACATTTATTATTCATTCTGTTCTATTATTTCGTATTCTAATTCTATATTTTATTATCTATTCTTTTCTCTATTCTATTCTCTCTTCTATTCTCTCTTCTCTTGTAGAGTAGACCCCTCTCTTCTTTGCGGCAGCCCCTCAAAAAGGATGGAAAATGCTGCTATCATGTCCCGCTCTAAATCCTTCTTTTCTCTAGAACCCAAATTCCTGCAATGGTTCTTCGTATGTTTTAGCCTCCGGGCCTTTTAATCCTCATTGTTGCTCTTCTTTTCACCTTTTCCAAAGTCTCCAACATGGTTTTTTTGTAACGTGGGGATCAAAACCGGATGTGTCATTCCAGATGTGGCCTTACTAAGGGATTTACAAAGCGGTGCTAATAAATGGTTAAATTATTGCAGGGGGGAAACTCGGATGGAGGGAGCGCCTTTTTAGTTATCCATCCAAATCGGTCGTTCATAAACACACACACACACACACACCCCTCCCCGGATTGTCTTAAGGAAGGTGAACACCCGGAGAAGCTCCGCTACCCTTGCCAACAGATATGGGCGGGGGGGGGGGGGGGGAAAGGACATTTTTGCAATTTGATTCGCAATCAGGCCGCAGTGACATTACACCAGGTTGCCATGGCTGAGCCTTTCCTCCGCGGTTCTTGCTCGCAGCCCGTAACTCTTCGCGGAGAGACGAGACAAAAGCCAGTGCAATCCCTGGGCTGCATGAACAGAAGGATTGAATCAAGATCACCATGAAGTGTTACTAGCGCTTTACAATGGCTTGGTAAGGCTGCATCTGGAGTACTGCGTCCAGTTTTGGTCACCACAACACACACACACACACACACACACACACACACATTTTAATTCCCTTGCATGCCTTGACTTTGGCTGGCAGGAATAGCCGATGCTCCAAAAGACTACACTCCTTCCTTCCTTCCTTCCTTTCTTTCTCTTTTCTTCTTCCTTTCTTTCTCTTTCTTTTGCTTCCTCCTTCCTTCCTGTTCTTCTGCTTCCCATCTTCCTTCCTTCCTTTTCTTTCCCTCTTTTTTCTTCCTTCCTTCTTTTTTCTTTCTCTTCTTCCTTCTTCCTTTCTTTTTCTTTCCTTCTCTCTCT